CTCTAGTGTTAGTTCTAACAGATATCGTGTTAGTTATAATTTAATTAAGTCGTTAGTTCTACATAATTGTTGGGTCTAAACGCCATGTTAGTTCTACTTAATGATGTGTTAGTTCTAGCTTCTCCAGTGTTAGTTCTAACTGGTATCGTGTTAGTTCTAATTTATTTAAGTCGTTAGTTCTAGCGTAATTGTTAGGTCTAAACGCCATATTAGTTCTACTTGATGATGTGTTAGTTCTAGCTTCTCTAGTATTAATTCTAACAGGTATCGTGTCAGTTCTAACAGGAACTCAACAAGAACTAATATAGCCACTAGAACTAACACTTATATTAGAACCAACACTAGCTGGAAGTAGAACTAACATGAAATCAGCTAGAACTAACAGGAGAACTACCAGAACTAACATGAGCTCAACTAGAACTAACATAGCCACTATAACATGGTATAAACATATTAGTTCTACTTAAAGTTAGCTCTAATATGAATTAGAACTAACATAAAATAAGTTAGAACTATTATAAAATAAGATTTACCACTAGACCAAATATCCTAAAGTATTTATATTAGTTCTACTTAACATTAGCTCTAACATGAAATAGAACTAAGTTAGAACTAACATAAAATAAGTTAGAACTAACATTAAATAACTTAGAACTAACATTAAATAACTTAGAACTAATATGAGTTATTGCTCATGATAGAGTTCAAAAAAGGGCGGGAAATTTCCCTCTATTTTTTTCCATCAGATCGCATTAATGGGCGTGACTTTCCATGTATTTTGTGGAACAGATGTCTGGGGAAGATAAATGAAGGGGTAATTTCGGGTTTTTTTCAAAATACAATCTCTTTTTTTATACTGCTGATGTGGAGGGGCCTTGAAATATTAATTGATACTTTATGGGGCTGAATCACATGGGCCAAAATACAAGGGACGGGTCACATGAACTTTCTTATTTTGGGGCGTGAACACATTTTTCCCAAATCTACTTCTTTATTACTAAAGGAGAACAACCAAAAAATAAAATGAACAGTAACCTAATGTTCACAACAATAGAAAAAATAAAATGAATAGCTAACTAATCCACGTACTTAAGCATAGATAAAACTTCCCAGATTTCACGAGCCACGTTCTCAAAATTTTGGCAACCACTGTTCCGCCTTCTTTAACTGCATCCCCCATGATTCTCTCTCTTCCTCTCTACATATTTCTTCAGAAAATTAAAAAAAAAAATCCAAAATTGAGAGCGAAGAAAACACTTCCTCTCCTCTTGCCCTCTCCCCGAGGTCTCCGTCCCCATCTCCTCCTCCCCCTCCTCCACCCAATCCCCTCTCCCCTCATCCTCCCTCTCTCCCTCATGCCCGCACCTCCCCTGCCATGTCCACCATCAACATCCTCTCTCACCCCGTCGACCCTGTCGCAGAAGGCAGCGACCCGAAACGACCCTCATTTGTTTCTTCGAATCGCTTTCTTCACCCGCCTCTACTGCAGTTTAAAAAAGGTGATTATATGTAAATGTTAGCCTTGAGTGATTCAGTTTCTGCCACAATGAAGTTTATGAAGCTTGGTAATTAAAATGTTTGTTCTTTTTACATATTTATAGAGATGCAAGAGCTGATTTAGATGATTAATAAAATCTTTGGTAATTAAAATGTTGGTAGGTAACAAAAGTAAATCTGATTTTCGAAAATTTGTGAACTTGATTCATTTTTAATCTATTTGATTTTAGATCTTAATTTTTCTAGAATGATAATACATCTAATGACATGCGTGATGGAATCGGTGATCGCGAGTATCTATCAGTTTCAGGTGATAGTTTTTACTATGATTTTTGCTTAATTTCTTGATTTTAATAAATTTTATTGTTGAATGTGTTTATATTTTTGATGTTCACCATGTATTTTAAATGAGGATTAGAAACTTTAAAATTTACTTATCTATAAAATTGTTAATGATAGTTTCCTGTTATTTATACTTTTGTAATGTTGGCTATTTCATTATATTTACTGATTTTTGAAAAGTTATATTTTCTTTAATGAACCTTATGAGCAGAATAAATATAGCCATTGATGTTGTCTATGCTTTGGATTATCTCCACCATCGCTGTGGAAAACCGGTCGTCCACTGTGATCTTAAGCCGATCAACATTCTTTTCGATGATAATATGATTGCCCATGTTGGTGATTTCGGCTTAGCCAAGTTTCTGGAGAAGGTTTCTTCTCAGTACTTGGCTGGTTCAACTGGCCTCAAAGGGACTATATATTGGATATATTGCTCCAGGTGAAAACATCTATTTTTTTTAAAATATTGTTTTCCTATTGCTCCAGGTGAAAAGCTTCTATTTTTTTTTATTTTCCTTGCTTTTATATATATGTTGATATTATTTCTCTTAGGCTTAAAGTTTAAGATAGAAACAAGGCGTACATGCATGTTTTTCTAACACTTTTCAGTTAGAATGTTCTGAAATTAAAGATGTAACTATATTATCATAGTCAATCTATCACATATACAAGTCCATCTTATGTATTTCACTGGAAGTATTATCTTGACCTTACATATTTTGCCTAATTAATTTGATAAGAAAAGTATATTACTCTGTTTTACTTTATTTTGCCTTTCGGAATTATCTCGGACTAATCCTTCTGTATAATCAACATTTACCAGAGTACGGAATGGGGCACGAAGTTTCTACTCGTGGAAATGTGTATAGCTATGGGATACTTTTACTGGAAATGTTTACTGAAGTGATGAGATGTTTGTAGTAAGCATTACTCTTCGTATGTTTGTGGAGTAGGCATTTCCTGAACGAATAACTAATATCGTCGATGCTCATTTGCTCACTCAAGTGATGATGATGCTGAAATCATGAATTATGGAAGAACAATTGAGTGCGTAGCTTCAATGCTTAGAATTGATATCTCATGCTCGAATGAAAGAGAGAATGGAGATGGACAGCATCATCGAACTGCATATTGTCAGAGATTTGTTCACAAGGGATGGAAATCAGGAAGAAAAGCAAAGAGCACAGAAGATTGGCGGTCCGTCTACAAATATTTTGTAACAAAATATGGTAAGGGCATGTGTTTTGCATGTCACATATACACACACACAAAATCCCTACTGAAATCAATTTGATCTGTCATGATAGTTAAGTGAGGATGACTCCTTTACTTTAGGTAGTTTGTATTGAAATCTATCTGCTTGATTATAGTGGTTAGATTAATCGTGAATATTTGATTGTGAAATGGTCATTGAAGTAACCATGCTGATAGCAATTTATATATGTGGAAGAAAAAGTTTCCTATCTATGTCTATGTGTGTGTATTTATTGTGTACTATCAACATGAAAATACCTCTGCTAGAATATTAGTAATTTAACAATATGACCCTTAAATAAAAGGTGGACGGAAGAAACAATTCTTGCTGTAGGTCATTGTTGTGTTGTTAAATTTTGTTTTCTGCAGAATTTCCCACATTATCTTTATGATATACTTCCATAGTTGCATATATAAGTACATGTCAGTAGAAATAGAGTATAAGATGGTAAATAGAGTACAACTATGGAATATTAATGTTTACAACAAAGAGATCCTATTGATATCTTTAATAGTCTTAAGCCTTAATACATTTGTTAATATCATTGATTTCTTTCCAATATCATTGGTTTACGCTTGCTCTTAGGTGAACATGAAGGAGCTCAAAGCATGACTACTGCAAAACCTATGGAGTTTGTCTTCTCAAGCGAACTATCAGTAGAGAGAATGGAGATAGAGAAACTCTTGAAGCAACTAAATGGTAACAACAACATAGAGATTTACAGTGACAGCAAGAGAGATTCTCTTTTTTTATATATTATCGTAAATAATGATTTTGTGTTTCAGAGGATTTGGATTAGTTGGAACTATATTGTGCTACCTATATATTTATCTACATCAGAAACCTTATTATGAAACTTTGGTTAATGACAGCTAGGGATGGTATAACCATGAAGATAAAAGCTAAAGTTTCTAAATTTCATCCATGACAATTAAGGATCATTTTTAGATATTTTGGAGGGTTTGTATTGAGGAGAAAATGAAAATTTCTTCTGCCACAGTTGGTGATAGAATTAACTATTGATATGTGCTCAGATCTGAATATTTCCTCTAAAGTAATGAATTATTGATATGTGCTCAGAGCTGAAGATTTCCTCTGTGACTTAATTACATGTAAATGGAACATAATGCTCTATCCCTTATCTCACAAATTTTCTCAATTTACTACTTATAGTTGAACCCTCAAATAATATTTTTGTTATTTTTCGAAAGTGTTTCCCATTTCAAAATTGGTTATAGTTGAACCCTTTTATTCATTCTATTTTACCCTTTTAAAACTAAGAGGAGGGGTGTTTCAAGTGCAATGGTAGAAAAGATGCGAGAGCCGTGCTTAGCACGAGGTACATACTAGTAAATAAGTAATAAAAGAATAAATTAAAAATAAAATTGGTAAAAAGGAGAATTAACCACGCCTTCGGTTTCCCCTCTCTCTCTTCCCCCCATCTTTCCGCCGCCCCTTATCCCCCCATCATTCGTCATCCCCTTCTTCTCCCCGTCTCTCCCTATTCCTTCCATCTGAAAAATTAATTCAAAATTTACTTATTAATTGCGAATTAATTTTATCCTCTTTCTTCAATTTCTCCCCATCTTTCTTCTTCTTTTTACCTTTTCGGTCCTTCCAGAAATCTTGGCCCTCTCCTTCCCCACCCCCCTCTTTCTCCTTCCAATAGAAAAAGGGGGAGGATGAAGAAACCCTAGTATTTCTGCCCACCCGCTAATAAATCCTGTGTTTTTTCTCCGCAAGCGCTCGGATCTGGGATAATGGCGAACGGCAAAGCGTCGGACCCCGATGAATTCGTGATCCGTTCTGGCGTCCGATCTGGTCTAAAGAGAGAGTTCGCCTTCGCCCTAAAGTCACAGGCAGACTGAAGATGAAGCTAGCAAGCCTTCAACTCTCCCCTCTTCTTCTGCCACCCCCGCCCCCATCCCCTTCCCAAGAGATTCATGAAATCGCCTCCCCCTTCTTCTGCCGAGATCCCAAGCGTTGAAACCCCCAAAACCCAGGAACAGGTCGTTATCCCCATCGACGATGGCGAGCTCGCTGAGGAGCCTGTTGTTGAGAACCCAATCCCGATCGATGAGGTTCTTCGAGGATCGCCCCACGTCGTGGACAGCCCTAAGGTTGCTGCCCAAGCTCCCCCTCCTGCTGCCGCTGACGTCAGTGCTGGGTCCCCACCTGAGAATGGCAACGATTCAAGTGAGATGGTCAACGAGTCCCCTGAGTTCAAGCCAGCAGTAGACAATGCCCTGGTAGAAGATCCTCCGGCAACTGCGGGTGCTGCGGGAAACTCTCCGGCGAAGCCGGCAACTGTTGATGGCCATGAAGGCCCGAAAACGGAAATTAGCATGCTTGACAAGCCTGCAAAGAGATTTACCAGATCTTCGCTGATCGGTCCGGAGACTGAGCAGGAAGGAGTTGCAATGGAGAACCGCGTTGAAACCAAGGATTCATCTTGCTTATCCGAGAAGCCTACCAGCAGGAGATTCACCAGGTCGCTGCTCAAGGGGACAGCTGAAGATACTTCTGCAGGAGAGGTCTCTGCCACCACCACTAGCGGATCGGATGGAACCAGAGGCAGTGGGGTCAATGCTGATGACGGGTCCTCCGACATGACCCCCACTAAGAAGATGGAACTGAAGATGTCAAAGAAGATCGCTCTCAACAAACTGCCGACCAACGTCAGGGATTTGCTTGGAACTGGCTTGCTGGAAGGATTGCCCGTCAAGTATGTGGTCTATGTCGGCAAGGTATGCACTACTTTGAAGCAATGTCCTCAGATTGCTATTGCACTTTGCACTTTCATGCTCAGCTGCTTGCATATATTAACCCTCTATGTTTCTTTACCAATGAAACTGCTTGACTTGTAGTTTCTAATCTGACATTGTTTCACAGCCATATGGGCTTGAAGGCGTGATAAAAGGCAATGGTATTTTGTGTTCGTGCTCTTTTTGCAAAGGAGCAAAGGTGAGTATTCTTTTCCTAGTGTCATATTGTGGGATCCTGTGAATTGTATCGCTAAATTAAATAATTGCTGAGCTTAATCGTTGAGAGCATTGCAGGTGGTTTCAGCTTACAATTTTGAGGTGCATGCTGGAAGTACAAAGAAACATCCTTCTGATTATATATTCTTGGAGAATGGAAAGAGCCTTCGAGATGTTTTGAGAGCATGCACAAGTGCTCCTCTAGATATGTTGGAATCCGCAATCCAGAATGTAGTTGGGGTAATGCCTCCAAGCAAACCCTCTATCTGTCAGAAATGTGAAGGTGAGGGTATTTATGTTCATACTATTGGTGGAGTTATTGATCTCAGACACTCCCCTTTGTTCATATTTTTTACATTCATTCAATGACGTGCAGAAATATTTCACACTCCACGCACTGGTAAGTTTGCACTGTTTTGCGACTCCTGTCTTGAACCGACAAAGCAAATGACTCCCAGACCATTCCAAGGGTCTCCCATCCCTGCCAAGTAAGTTGTCTTTTTAGTTAAATATCTGTATGGGCATGGTTTCCAAGTTACCTTCTTTGCTCTGCTCATCTAAATTGACAATATCTTTGTCCAATCTATCTTTCTTGTGTACTGCTACAAACCTCAAATTATTATATTATTATAGGTTATTCGTATCAGCGCTGTGATAAGACAACGACTCCATCTTTATTTATTATATTCAGAACATTCTAGAATGACATAGTCATAGAAACAGCTCAAGATTAGCTTCCAACAACCGCAACTGACTGTTAAAGATGGACCAAATATCTTTTCTTGTACATTGAGAAATCATATGCAAGAGAAAAAGGATAAAACAAGAAAAGTAAATATGAGGTCCTTACGGGAGAATGTGTCAATGATTGGTGTAATATTGCTCGTTGCTAGCAAAATGAACAAGAATAATGTTCATTGATATGATCCAAGACAATCTGAGATGCTTGAAAGACTATTTACAATATCCTAAGGACAGAAGTGCATTACATGCGTACGTATGTGTGTGTGGAGGGACCTGTTTAGCACAATGTTGATGTTTAACCTAATATGTAACATTAAATAGTTTTACTTTTGATGTAGAAAATAAGTTTGTCAACTGTGAGGTACTACTTTGTGTCCATGTCAGGGCAATATCTTGTATTCTTGTTGGTTTTAGGTTTAGAGATGGTTTGTCCAAAGTAGAAACAGGGTAGTGTTCCAGAAGAGAGGTCTTAGCTGCAGTATTTAATTTTTGACTGATTTCTATAGTAGCTGGTAGAAAGCCAGCCCCCAAAACCTGTTTCTTCCTCTTAACCCATGGGGTTGGTAAGTGAAGAGAAGAGGTTTCTACTATACAAGCAAATTGTCTATGATATCAGAAACATTTTAAATCAGAGTCCTCTCCAAGGCTTTCAGAAACAGGAAGAGCTGCCTCAACTGTGCTAGATGCCTTGTAGCCACTACCTTATTTTGGCATCCGGCCACCTGAATTAGTCCCTTGAGACATGAAAATTGTGCAACGGGGCTTGCTTTAGTGCCAATTTACATATAATTTCTGAAAATAGAACATCATTCAGTGCTTGGATGTCCCCTCATAGACGTTCATCGTGTTGTCAATTCGCATATCTTAGAGACTTAGAGAAATTTCGTCTTTTAATTATCTAATGTGCACATAAGCTATATTATATATTAGCTTTATACTTCAAATTTGAAGTTCATTCATTCTCTTATAAAATTTCCCTCCAGGTTGCCCAGCAAGGTTTCGGCAGGGGATGGCTCCAATGGCTCATATAAGAAGATATCTTCACAGAAGAAGAGTATCATACAAACCAAAGTTTTAGCAGGGGATGCTTCTGATGGCTCAACAAAGAACACTTCATCGCATAAGAAAGTCGTTGGAAAATTAACCAGAAAGTTAGTTGCTTCAACCAATAACTTTTGGTTCATAGTGTGCTAGTTTTCTCTGCTATTTTTTTTTGCTCGAAGCTGAACTTGTTAGTTGAATTGTCATCTTTTAAGGGATCTGGGGCTACACAAGTTGGTCTTTATGGATGATATTTTGCCCGAGGGAACTGAAGTAGGATACTATGTTCGTGGAATGGTATTAACTAAACAGTTTCTGCTGCAATTGGCAATTTATAGTGTAATTTATTTAGTCTGATAAAAATCTTTAATGTATATTTTCAGAGATTACTTAAAGGCTATATAAAAGATTCTGGAATATGCTGTGATTGCTGCAATAGCGTGGTAAAGAAGATTAATTTAAATTATGTTCATCTGGTTAGTTAAATGCGAAAGTTTTGTTGTAGGTCCTATCATCTCAACGCTTAAAATGCAGGTCAGTCCTTCACAGTTTGAAGCTCATGCTGGTCGGGCTCAACGACGTAAACCGTGAGTTAACAATGATTGAAAAGTTTTTTTTGCCTTGTTTTAATCTTGTTTCTTGACATCCCTACCAAGCTTCTTTTTTTATGTTGCCTCTACAGGTACAATAATATTTATACTTCCAATGGAGTGTCACTTCATGAGCTATCTGTTTCCCTGTCAAAAGGCCGGAAACTGTCAGCTACTGAAAATGATGATCTATGCAGCATCTGTGCAGATGGTGGAGATCTTCTTCTTTGTGATCTCTGTCCCAGGGCCTTCCATAAAGGTAATTTTATAGCTTTCAGCCAAAAAAATATGAAGTCAACTTGCTGGAACCTACAGATGTGCAAGTAGGAGCTTGTTTCAGCAAAATTCTATTACTTTAGCATGTTTTAATTAGGATGTAGATCTGATAGCACAAAGCTGTCATTTTAAATGTTACACACATTTATTACCCTTGTCAAATTCTATTTGCAGCCTGATGAGCAATCTAACATATTTTGTAGTACATCATACTTAGTATTCTGATACGTGCAAAGCACGGGAAACCATTGCATTTCGTTCTATATTTAATCTCCGCCCTTTTATTTGTCCAAATACACCACATGAGTATACAGACAGAATGTTTCTTCAGTTCTTTTTATCCAGTAAAATAAAACTACAGTTAATAATTTATGAATTAACATCTGACACTTAAAAGTTGAAATTTAATGAATCACAATGAAATTAAATTTTCAAATCTAATACTAAATATGAATAAAACTAATGTTAGTTTTCTGGTTTTGTCATATTCACTCGTACATATTCTTAATCAAGTCATGCTAAGCTAGTATTTTGGCCTGCGGCAACCATGGGCTAGCATTGTGTTTGGTGTTTTCTCTTATTTTCTTTGTTTTGAAATATAATTTTAGTATTTTATGAATAATATATTCTATTATTATAATTACACCTATTCTTTCAATTACATATTATAAGAAGATTTTTCAATTTACCCAATTGCAGTGCACGGGACTTCATATTAAATGTTATCCTCAACTATATTGATTAAAGAAGCCCAATTTCACATGGACACCATTATTATACAGTGTCAGGGATTGTGAAATTTTTATGTTAATAAGTTTATAATCTCCTTTTATGTTGTATGCTTATGATTATATGTGAAATTCGGTTGATAAACATAATCGAATTTTAGACACTAATTAGCTTGTTATTGTTTTAAATCAAGCAACAAAAGAGCTATTAGTAAGTATTAGGAATACAACACTTTGTGGATAGGAAAAAAGTAAAAAACAATATAATACTTGGATGTGCACACTTATCAGAAATCACACTAAAATGAAAAGAAAACAACATGAATGTTTTTTTAAAGCGGAAAAAAGAAAGATAAAAAATAAAATTAAAAAGCTGAACTTATCATTAATTGCATGAGTGATACAAAGTTGAAGCACTAAGAATTTGCTAAGAGAAAATAATACAACTATGTTTTTTGTTCTAGTTTATATGTAGAGAAAGTTTCTATACCCTGTAGGAACAGATGGGAGTAGAACACAATGCTCATGTACAGATTTGTAAAGTCGACAATATTTGCTAACAGATCCAATAGGAGCACCGAAATTAAGCATTTAAGTCCAAGTTTCCAGAGTGATGACTTGACGATAAGCTTCAACTATTGTAAGGTTTTTGGGCATTTGTTATTGACCGTCAAGGAAAGCACTTGGTAACCTCACCATGCACCGACCTCCATGAATTACAATATTCACATCAAACTGTTTTTAAAATTTTATATACAAATGACTTCCTATTTGTTAGACCAAAAAATAAAAAAATAAAAAGAAAAGAAAAGGAAAAGAGATATCTAAAGTGCCAATGCAAAATGTGGCAAGAGAACACATCTTGAGTAAGATTGATGAAGCCACCATTAATGCAAAAACAGCAAATTGGAATCAGTCAGCACCTTTTGCGTATTGTTGCCCAGCAATAGAGAACCAAGTTTCAAGACTTCTGTAAGTACTAAATTCAAAACTTTGTTCAAGTTGATGAAGCGTCCAAAAAGGAGTCAACTTTGGCTTGCATAGTAACTGAAACTGCACTTGTACTGCCTAATGAATTCTGTCTTCTCGCCTGTAGAGATCGACACAGATTATAGCTTTACTTTCTGGTTCTTTACCTTATCGAGTAATCTCTTCATGATTATTTGGAGAACGCTAGCCTGATATAAAATGGCAAAAAGGAAGAGAGTCAAAATTAATTATTATTTGGAACTGAATGCAAACAGAAATGAAGGATAGAGAAAATAGATGTTAAAAAAGCAGCAAGTAATATGCAATAGGGAGTTATTGTTTCATAATGGATTAATATGGAAGTAACTGAAATAAATACAGAAGGAGAAAGAATAAACCAGATGGAGAAAGAATAAACCAGATGATGGAAAAATCAATAAATGGTTAATAACAGAAAATTTCAGCAATCAAATGTGTGAGAATTTGAATTGGTTCAATCAACTATATTAATAATCAATTAATGGATGATGAATCTGATTGAGTAAATACTTAACAGTTTATAATAAGGGTATTTATGTAGCTTCACAGCCTTCACTGATTGTTAGCTATAAAGAGTTCTTTCGATATCTTATGTTTGTTAGAGTGAAATTTCATATAGCTATGCTGATAGTAGTTGAACCTTAGAATCAGATTTAACTCCTGAAGGATTACGAAGATGGGGCTCATTACTTGCATCAAGCTCTAGGTCATCTTAATCAGTGTCTGCAAGAAATGGAGCAGTTGCATCTCACCTTTATATTCATTGCTGGACTAACAACGTGCACTATATTTATTTACCAAAAAGAAAAAAGAAAAAAAAAGGAAAAAAAAAGAAAGTGCATTCAGCATTCTTGCATAAAAATACTTGATTTATTTATCAATCGTAGCATACATATTTAATTTCAGAAATTAATAGCAAGACAAGCAAGATCATTTTGGATAAAAGCTGACAACTTGAACATCAAGTTTGGAAACCCTCATTGCAAATAAATGCTACCAATAGCCAAATGCTACACAGTTGCCCGTAGTTCTATTTTCTTAACCTGCCAGAAACATGATATTTCATTATCCTTACATTTCTTTATTTCTTATCTTGTATATTCTGTGCATAACATTCATTTTCATAAACATATTGGATACATAAATATACCCATGTTAGAATATTGAGCACTTGTCTTCATTGTAAACTACTCAAATGGGTCTGAAATAGAAAATAAACTCAAGTACCTGAATAAGGTCATAAAGCTCAACCTGATAGCCTCAGCATACAACAATCTTGAATGCTAAATGCACAAAAGCAAAAATAAATTAAAGAATAGGATTATTTCCTATAATCATGAGGATTAATCAGAATATTTATTTGAAGCATTTGTGGCTGGATGTGCTTGGTCATTGCAGGGCGTTGATAGAATCAACAGGGAACTACACTCCTAACTGCAAAATAAGGAAGCTTCTTTTACCATATGATAAGTCTATAAATGTGAGAATTGAAGAATATATATAATTTCAATAAGCTTGGTTTGTGCATTTCAATCCCTAATTACAAAAATAAGAAGTTTCTCATTGAGTCTTAGATCGTAGGATTGTGCAATGGAATCTGTGTAGATCAGCCATGTGTTGATTCTATACCGTGTTGATATTATGCTGTGTCAGATGCAACCAATCTATCTTTAGTAGTTGCTTAGCTGAAGCTCTTTTAAGTTTTCACATTATGAACTCGTTGAGGAGTAAAAAGTATCAATGGCCATCTCAATATGTGCACTAATGGAACAAAATCACAACCTTCAATAATTCCAAAATTTCAAAAATATCAACCATCATATCCTATATGGTGAGAACTGCTATAGTTAAATTTGAGGATACAATAAAACATCAAGTGCAACATGCAACTTATGATGTTTCAAAAATACTCAGCATAAGAATGTTGCCCCTGTCAACACTAAAAAGTTAAACCAGAACTTAATCAAGATAGTATTATTAAAAACCTAGTAAATTCAGGGTCAAAACGGAAACAGACATTGTTTAACTCATTAAGAAGCCTATCCATTTAGTTTTCTTTAAGAGGTAGATTTAAAAAGGCCAGAAAATAGAAAATAATTTAAAAATCAAACACGACATAATATAAATGAATTTTGGTTAATTGGATGTTAATACCTAAAGTTTCACCAATCGAAGCACCCCAAAGCAGATATAATTTATGTTTAATACCTTATGCTACTTTGCCATTCAGAACTTCGTCTACAATGCATATTTGTACATTTATACTATTACAGTACAAAAGAAATTCTTAGTCAAATCCCTTTTTTGGCTCCAGTAGGATTAAAAGGAGCAATCTATTTCTTCATTTTTTCCAAAGACAAATGGATGAAATTTGGCATTGAACTATAGGAAGAACACCTAGAAACTCATAAGTAAGTGGAATTTAATGAGTAATGGTTACATGCTACTCCTTCTCTATGGAGTTAGCGATGTAAATTACATCTAAAAACTGGATGACATGAAGTTCTATTGCGTTTTTATTCTACAGTGTTCTAATCCTTTATGATTCAAGGTCTTGGTTGTATTGTTGACTCAAAATCTCATTTGTGCTCAACGATACTAACTTTAAACTTATATGCAACATCCATATCACGTTAAAACCACAGTAATCACATCTTGATAGAACTTTACAACCAAAACGGAAGGCAACTAAACTGATGTCAGCAATTGTAGTAAATAATATAACCTCATTGAAGGAAGCAATTAATTCTTTTGATGAGGATCGGAATTTTCCGTAAATTTACTGAGAGGAGTGTTCTAAGAGCTGCTGCAGATGCGGGTTTAACCAATCCACTCTTGAAATTTTACTCCGACTCTACGAATTGATTGATCAAGACATTGCCTTGACAAAGAGGAAAGGTAATTTGTATCAAGTTCCTACATCATCAAGAAAAAGACCAAATATAATACAATAGAAGTATGGTTAACTTCATTTCCAACTTGTTGATGTGAATTTATATTAGCCTTTTTCCCAAAAAAATTCCAATGTCAATATCAAGTTGAAATCTTACCCATCATTAAACATAAACCAAAAGCTTATTTAGAATTAAGAGACATTTGAGATAAAAATAAATACCTCATCGGAGATTGAAATTCATATATGGTCAGCCCAGCTACAAGTTTATTCTCCACTACATTTAGAGTTTGGAAAATGAAAAGCAAAGAAATTTATCGAAGGTGCAAAGTAGTCATTACATTATGAATAGATCTAATTAAAAATTAAAATACCACAAAAAAAATAAAGTTTACCCTGTAAAATGACATGTAAGGAACCTAGAGTTGTAAGAGAAATTACCACGAGAGTCGGGGAATGAAAGAAGCAAGTTTGGTTGAGGATAGATTTGTGGGATTGTCGTTGTCATTAGAGATTTGCGAGCGAGCGAGCGAGCTTGATGGTAAAGGGAGGGAGAGAGAGAGAGAGTATGATGCTTTGGGAAGGAGAATGTAGCTTGGGTAAAATGATGAGATGAAAAGGTAGCAGGTGTTGGTTTCAAATCTCAATTGAGAACCGTAGTGATTTGAGTCTGGGTGGAATTGGCTGTGGTCTTTTTTGAAATTCAAATTCAAACTCAGTTTTCTTTGTTTATTTTGTTCCTGCAGTATTGCTGAAAAGATAGTTTCTGCAGCTGCTACAGTGTCTGCGGGAACACTGCAGCTACTACAGTGTCTGCATTTGTTCCGCTATTATTTAAAAGTAATAGATACTTTATGTTTTGTTTGCGGACAACAACAATAACAAAGCATTCTCCCAATTATTTTTGGGTCGATGAATCCTTTTCTTCCATTCAGTCTAGTACCATATCCTTCTAGTTGCACATAAATCGTAGTTCAGAGTTAGATGTGGAGACACAGCTGAAATGCGTGGGCTGAAATCATAGTTCTGAGCCAGTTACGCAAACATCCATTTGAAATCGTAGTTCTTATCTGAATATGAGCTGAAAAGATCCGATCCTTGCCCACCAAGTTTAAGAAGTGGATGTGAAGCATAGGATGTATGTCCAAGGAATGTGTGATGAATGTTTTAAACATGTATCATATAATTGAATACTTATATGAATCAGTGGTATCAAAGGCAGGTGCCTCATTGCGCCTCATGCGCCATGCGATGCAGGTCGGTTGTGAGGCACCCCATATTTGATGCTTTAGCCCTCTAGGAGAGGGGGAGCATGCAAAGCATGACCTCATATTTTTGTTCTTTAGCATTTTAATTGGGTCTTTATAGTCGAAAATCCATATCCCGAATAGAAAAATGAACCCATTACTCCATTTTACTAGCTCGAGTGAGGATGCTAACTCTTTCTCATTTACTATTTGATTTTGCTTCAATATTAGTCTACATTTGGCTTTTGATTTGGAAAATCATAAATTATACTGCTACTTTGGATGTGTTAGCATTATCAATTAAAACTCTATTTATTATTTCAGTAGTAGATGTTATTTATCTTGACCTATTTTTTATTTGAAAATTCATAAGCATGTCCTTTCATGTGGTGTGCGCTTAGCTTTACTTAAGTGCATGCATTGCATTGCTCCTTGCGCATGTGCACATAAAGGGATATTGCGCCCCACATTGTGCATCACACGTTGATAACATTGATATGAATAAATGTATGCATATATTTTAGGAGTGTCCAAGAAGTGAGGTGTATAGGACGTGTCGGTTTTAGGTACGACTTTCTGCTAGAAGTAATGAGAAACACACAACATAGGAGGTAAATGAAAAATTGCATGCATCACACGTTGATAACATTGATTTGAATAAATCTATGGATATATTTTACTTTAGGAGTGTCTGAGAAGTGACGAGAGCAGTGTGTTGGGTACAGGTACAGCTTTATGCTAGAAGTACTGAAAAACACACAACATAGGGGGTACATGATAACTACGACGTTAAATCTGTAACTACTGCAGCCTGCAGGGACTAAAAACAGAAAACTGCAATCATATAACCCTATTGTAACAATGGATCTAATGAAAATCATGCAATTTTTTTATTAACAGAAGAGTTCCATGTGCAGTTTTCTGCAAACAGAACTTACAGATAATCATAATTGATAATTATACAATATACACTAATGTATGATAATGAATTTTGAATAGAGCAGAGAGTTTCCAACAGTTCTCCTATTTCATCTTTCTCTTCATATCAATGACCAACATATCCATTCAGATGCCAAAATCTCTCTCTCTCTCTCTTCTCTCTCTCTCTCTCTCTCTATATATATATATATATATATATATATATATATATATATAATAAGTCTCTTCATATCTTGCATGGATTGTTTGGTTTGTTCTAAGCAGAAACGCAAGGGGACCATTGCCACGTGAGCTGTGGAGGAAAATGTGTTTCTGTCCTCAAATCGCCGAAATCGCTGGAAAGTGATCAAAGCTGTCCAATCGCTCTTTCCTTGTCCTTTCACCCCTAGGGTTTACGATCACTGCAACATTCCCTCCATCTTCTCCCGCCATCCATAGTGAAACAACCCGACTTTCCCCCTCCCAATCCCTTGCCTTTCCTCCTCCTTCAACGAGATCCTCCCCTGTTAGGGTTTCGAGCCCACCGATCCAGCTGACTCATGGGCGGCGGTGACGGAGACTCCGACAACTCCTCCACTGCCACTGTCAACATCCGATGCTCCAATGGGACCAAGCTCTCGGTCGAAAATTTCTTCGGAGCTCTTGAGCCATGGCAGATCACGCGGAGGAATCAAAGGGCGAATCTCTGATTGAGAAGATCGAGGAGAAGTTCCACGGCCACGATTCATCATCGTCTTCATCGGACTCGGACAACGAGAAGCCTAAAAAATCCGAGAAGAAATCAGAGGAGGCCGAATCATCTGTTGGTTGGTGAATAGTTAGTCACTTTTTCATTACTTTTTGGAGTGGATGAAAGCTAACTTTGCATGGTAATCTTAGTTTGGTGTTGATGAGGTTTGTTGATAGTGATTTGTGCTTTATTAGGTTATGATAACTATCAACTCGTGAAAAAATAAAAATAAAAATAAAAAGCAAGAATGATCTCTCGCTTGATTTTTTTATTTGTCAATTTTGGAAATTCCTATATAGAAAGAACAACTAAGTGATGGCTGCTGATCATGCTGTGGGAGCGATGTTCAGTTTGGTTTTAGTTGTTGCTTGGCCTTTGGTTTGAGCTGGCGATGAAAGTTTTAGCTGTGTGCTTGGTGAAGTTTCAGCAGTGTGCTTGGCCTTTGGTTTCAATTGTTGCTTGGAGTTTGGTTTCAGTTGTGTGCTTGGCCTTTAGTTTCATGAAAGATTGTCAGGCTTGGTTTGATTTCAATCTTAGGTTGTTGGAGTCTTGGTTTCTCTCGAGTTGGTTACAGCCTTGGTTCAGTCTTGGATATTTTCAAACTTGGTTTGGTCAAAGTCAAGTTCGTTTCAGGCAATGTTGGTTTGGTTTCAATCGAGTTGGCCAAGTCGAGTCGTATGTTTGACTTCTGAATTTCAGGCAATGTTTGCTTGCTTTTTTGAATTTGCAGCCAATTAAGTGCGTTACATTATATTTTGTGTGCCTTAATTTTTGTTGTTAATATTTTGTCTTATATGGGTGGTAATCACACCATGGTGACCATAATCAAGTTTTCTTGATTTTTTAGTTTGAACTAAACACTAGAAAATGAGGGAATCTATTCACACATCAATTGTTTTTTTTTTTCAAGTTAAACCAAACTAAGAAAAGTGGTGGAAAGTATTTTCAGCCCATATTTTTTGGCGAAACAAATACAAGAAACACTTTTCATGAAAGTGAAGGAAACACAAAAAAGTGAAAGAAAATCGTTTTTGGAAAATGAAGGAAACGAACCAAACATGCCCTTAAGTTGACATAAGAATTTCTCTCTTTATATATATATATATATACTTACATTAAATGTATACATGAAATAGAATTAATACGATTAAATATTTTAAAAATACTTACATTAAATGTATACATGAAATAGAATTAATACGATTAAATATTTTAAAAATACTTACATTAAATGTATACATGAAATAGAATTAATACGATTAAATATTTTAAAAATACTTACATTAAATGTATACATGAAATAGAATTAATACGATTAAATATTTTAAAAATACTTACATTAAATGTATACATGAAATAGAATTAATACGATTAAATATTTTAAAAATACTTACATTAAATGTATACATGAAATAGAATTAATACGATTAAATATTTTAAAAATACTTACATTAAATGTATACATGAAATAGAATTAATACGATTAAATATTTTAAAAATACTTACATTAAATGTATACATGAAATAGAATTAATACGATTAAATATTTTAAAAATACTTACATTAAATGTGTGGATTGAAGAACTTCAACAAGGCCAAAAGGGTAAACCTTTTCATCTACTTCTAGTTGTAAAACCACTGTTTTTCTACATTCTCTGTATTCTTTTCTTTTTCTTGTCTTCTCAAGAGATTAATTAGATTTTCTTCTTTTTATAAATTCTAAGTTTCACTGAGCACCCCTCTTAGTTAATTTATATTTATGTATGTGATTATAACTATTGTTATTTTCTTAAGACCCCTCTTGTGATTAATGTTTTTAACTTAACACAATTAATCTCGTAATTTTGACGAGTACTAATTTGTACTCTATTATGATTAAAAATAATAAAAAATGTACAGATCAAAGAAGCAGTCTTCTAAGATTCTCCTAGATTAATAGAAATAGGCTAGAATGAAAAGAAGAAAGGTGGAAAATTACTATTAGGATTAGTTTGACTATTCCGTTTTGTTGTTTCAAAGTGCATGTAGATTTTTTTTCTTTATGCTATATCCTCGTCTTTTTCACAGTCCTTTGATTAATTTGGTGTATCCGATTGGCATGTATAGTTATGTCTATACGTGCATGCATGTGCATATATGCCTTGGCGTGTGGGTTTATAGTAGCATATCATTCCACTTTTTTGTTGCAGAATGTGTGGGGTTATCAAGCATCCCTAAAGGTGACTGGTACTGTCGATATTGTCAAGATATGCATCAAAGAGAGAAGTGCTTATCAACAAATGATAATGCTATTGCCGCTGGGAGGGTTGCTGGAGTCGATCCCATAGAGCAGATAATTACGCGATGCATCCGGATTGTCACCACATCAACTGATATAGGCGGTTGTGCCTTGTGCAGGTTAGCGCTTCATCTTAGACGCCACTTTGTGAAATTTTTATGTTGCATTTCTCAGGTAGCTTGGGAAATTCACTATTGACTTTCACTGTTTCACGTATGCATTTGCTTTCGTGCTTTATCAGCACATTTGTTTTTATGTTTGAAAACTCATTGAACAACATTTGTATTTAATTTGTATGTTTAATACTGTTTTTTCTCCCATGACATTGCTGCTGATATGAACTTCCTAATGATCAAATTGCATTTGCAGAAGCCATGATTTTAGCAGGTCGGGGTTTGATAATCGCACTGTTATGCTCTGTGACCAAGTATGTTCTTTAAAAAAAAGATTTTCTTCTCTACAATTTGTTTATATTGTTGGCAATAGCTGTCTTCTATTCCATTGAACTTGCATAGGTTCATTCTGTCGCTTCTTGTGTGGGAGTTCTCATTGTATTTAATTTGTGCAGTGCGAGAAGGAGTATCATGTCGGGTGTTTGAAGGACCATAATATGTGTGACTTGAAGGTGACTGCATTTTACTTGTCTTGCATGTTGTGACTGCATTTTACTTGTCTTGCATGTTTGTCGTTAATGCGCTTGCCCTTGTACTGATTTTTGTTCTGTTAATATCACTTAGCTGCTAGTCTTTGGCCTTTGATACGTGCAACCGCTAAATCAATACTTACATCTCAGTCTCTGCTGCAGTAATGCAAAATCTTACAGAAGGAGATGACAGGGCTCCTTTTTTGCACCTTAATCTATGATACCAATGGAGACATCTTCTGTCGTCATCTTATCACTTTTTTTTAACAGGAATTGCCTGAAGGGGAATGGTTTTGTAGCACAAATTGTAGTAGGATTCATGCTGATTTGCAAGAGTTACTACGCGAGTCAAAGCCGCTTGAAGACATACATGTTGATATCATAATGAAAAAATGCGAAGAAAAAGGTATAAAAAAGGATGCCAAGGATGATGTCAGATGGAGGCTTCTTAGTGGCAAAACATCTCCTGCTGACTCTAAACTGCTGCTTTCTGAAGCAGTCACTATTTTCCATGTAAGTGTCAAGTGACATCTAGCTACCAATAATAGTGTTGCAATGATTATCCTGTTTGAAGTTCTTCGTAGTTTTTTAATTGATTACTGTTGCAAACTTGACATTTTTCACAAATTTTTTTGGGGGTTTCAAACCACAAAGCAGATTAATATAGTCATAGGCAGACCCCTTAAAACAGACAGGTGTGGTAGCAGTTAACAAAGATCACCTTCACACATCTGATACATAATGTGGATTTTATTTAGACGTTCTTTGGACTGAACAATGATGCAATTCCATAAACTAGCTTGTGAATCGCTGTGTAAAACATGAAATCCTTTATTAATCCTTCATGAGGAATAGGATAGTGGATACTGGATCCAATAGAACTCTTGAGTGAGGATTGAATCTAGAATATGTTTTCCTTGCTCCAGATTGGATTGCTGTAGTTTAGGTAGGCCTCTAGTCTTTAAAATCAGGGATTAGACTGTTTATCAATATAGTGATGCTTCGAGGCGATTGTTCCAAAGTTACAGAATGCGCTAGGCGGCCTAGGCATTGGACCCAACGCCTAGAGCCTAGGCGTCTTGGTGGAAGCCTAGGCGAGGCCTAGGCATTTTCTTATTTTTAGTATTTACTTACAATTTCTGATAGTCAATGCCAATGTCATGGAAAGCTTAGGCGCTAGACTGACACCGAGATAGATTTCTTAAGTGGTGGTGGTGGAGGTTTTGCTAAAGGCCGGGAGCGGTAGAAGATGTGTTAGTAGTTGGAGGAGGTTGGAGGACGTGGAGGCTGCAGTGGATGAAATCATGATCAATGCCTAAAGAGTGCAGTCCATGTAGGCAAATAACGCTCCTCTAGGTGCTTCCAAAATCTAGGTGGGTAGCCTAGAATCTAGATGTTGCCTAGGTGCTAGGCGCTACGCAGGCGGCCAAGATACCACTTAGGCCTAGGCGTACGCCTAGGCAGGTTAGGCGGAGGCTTTTTAAAACATTGGATTGGATTGTTCAGTGAATCATCTATTTGCTTGAATAGTTACCAAAAAATTTGTTCAGTAAATGTTCAGGGTAATTTAGTTTGTATAACTCATCCAAAACATAGTAGTAAAATAAGTTGCCAGGTACAATTATTTTTTTCAAGACTTCAAGTATGATGCTGGTCATTTTTCTTAATTAACTGATCATAGACAACTGCTGAAGGGTTGGTGCCAACTTTATGAGGACATCTTTCAGGTATTGACTGCATATCTCTTTAATTTGAATGACCATGGGTACTTGGTGAACCATCCTGATGACTTCTCTATATAATGAAAGGCTTGGGTTGACTGTAGAACAAAAGCTTTTCTACAAAACAAAGATTCTATATATAGACGATGTGCATTATAGTTTACACTTTATCTTGCATTTGTTATCCAAGTATGGAGGACATTTTTTTTGAATGGCAGCTGGTAAACGTACTGGTAAAAGGCTGGCACTACATACTTATATAAGTACACCTTTCATTTATTATCTGACTATTCTCTTTAATTTGGATGATCATAGACTCTGTACTTCGCTATCTTGATGACCCTATATAATAAGAGGTTTGTGGCTGATTGCAGGAAAGAAGCCTTTCTCAGAATAGATGAATTCACATGTAGATTACCACATAATAGTTAACACACTTCTGTTTTTCTGGAAAGAAGTGTCTCTTTGAAGTGGATTCAAAGTTTCACATAGTCTGAATGAGAACAGAAATTTCATGTATATGGCATGTGCCAAAAGATATGGTCCGTTCTAAAGAAATCTAGGACTGAAATTCCTTTAAAGTTTCATAGTCTTTGTGAGAACAGAAATTTATATATATGGCTTGTGCCCAAAAATGTTGTTCATTCTAAAGAAATTTAGAACTGAAATAGTTATTTTATGCCTGTGCAAGGTTGAGGTTGTCATTACGCATGTTTGTATTTTAACATGCTAATACTTTGCCCATAGACAGACAGAGATGAACAGGAAGTTAAGATACATGATAGTTGTAGAAATGCATCAATACCAGTTTAGACATATTGATATGATTAGTCAAAATCTTGTATTCAACATGGTCTCCTAGATCATGTTTTAGAGAAATTGTTATCAGCTATGTTAGCTGGGTACTTATATCAGCAGCCGCACCCATACCGACACATATCCGTACCCATACTGACAGTTCTTGGATGCTTATTGTATATATGAATGCATGTATCTAGGCATGTACTCAGTTATACATTTCATATTTTTAATTTAAAACGCTCATATCTAGTCCAAAATGAGCGCATTACCAACTTATAATCTACATAATAAAAGAGCGAATTCCTTGTTGAATGAACAAACAACGTTGATCTCATGTAAATAATTAATTTCAATACACACAATAGCCGTGTCCTTGTACCCTAGTTTTTACAAAGTTGCCATGTCCTATTCATGTACCAGAACCCGGATGTGTACTGTTCCCATTTCCATGCAACATAGGTGATTAGTGAGTACAGTTGGAAAGGAAAGGATTAGGCTGTGGGAGTTGGCAACTGCCTGCGCATATGGTAGGGTACTGCATGTGCATTTCTTTCTCTTTTAAGTGTTCTATATGTGCTCAGTGACCCTGCTTTTGTGATTCTTACTCTGATTATCTGGACTCCTTAGATGAGTGCTGCAGAAAGATCATCATATTGTAAAAACTGGAAGCATGATTTTGAGAAATCTGCATTGAATTTTTTAAACTACTGTCTAGATCTCTGTTTAGATTTTAATTGGAAGTGTTTTTTGTTGCCTCATCTGTCAAAGGCAAATTTTGTTCGAAATTTTAGTTATTACCATACAAATATTCTTTGGGGAACAAATTAGGATTTTCTTATTAAATGGGTACTCTCGTCTTCTCTAGTTGGGGTGATATTTAGTAAGACACGCTTGGAATTTTTTTTCCCTTCTTTGTTCAGAAATCGGTGTGTGATTGGTGGCAAAATCCCAGAATTGAAGGTATTACTGCAGATAATTTTAGAATTGTGCTTGTAACCTTGACCTCAGATGATGTATGAGATTGATCTGGATTAATGAACTTTCACTGAGGATTTAAAATCTGTATTTGGTAGATTAGATGCTTCAAAGCAATAGTAAGTGATGTTCCTTCTGCCCTTTGACTTTTATGCAACCATGTAGTGAATTTTGAAACAATCATATGGTGTGTTGCTGCTCCTCAGTGGTTTTAGGAGGGTTCAGAACTTAAGTATATTGTATGGTTGCTGCTGATGAGTTTTAGTGAAGGTTATTAACCACTATCCTACTAGATCTTCTCTTGCTTTGACAATTTCACAGACTTGTTTTTTGCTAAGTAGTAGAAGGCAAATTTTACTGATAGAGTTTAAGTGACAACACAGTTAATTTAAAACCACTTGACGGCTGCAGAAGTTTAATCTGATCGTGAAAGTTTTGAATGCTTCCAATTGGTATGCAGTCGAAACAACTGTGTGAGCTAGGGATTTGGGGAAGATGGAATTCTGTACATTGTAACTCGATGCCTAAGAAGGCATACCCATAATTATCACGTCTGGTTTCCACATTTAAAATTTCTATAAGAGAATAAGAAAACAGACACATAGTGGAAGTGTAGATATTAGTATTCTTCATGATGTCCGAGTTTTTTTAGGCACAAGTATCTATTTAAGCTATTGGCAGTTTTTTTGAGGATCTGATTTCCTGATTGATTTGGTGAAGTTTAAGAGAGATGTGCCAAAAGAAAAGGGAAGGTTACATGGCATCAAGCCATCAACTATTTGTTTGTCGTGTTGGTAGTTGTTTTTAATGTTTGCAACTTCATATGCTTATTTTTTCTTGGGTGGATGCTCCTTTTTTCCGCGGGATTGAGTATGGTGTGGGTGGGGCACTTTGAGAAGTTCATAGAAAAAAGTATTTCTGACTTAAGAGCTTTGGGGAGAGATTGGGATAAACTCGCTGGAAATTGCAATTATTGTAATATAGAAGTTGCCAGTGTTGTAAAAAGCGGCAAAAAGCGGGGCTATTGCGGCGCTAATCGCGGAAGCGGGGCATCAGCGCTACGCTTAACGCATTAGCGGCTTGCTTAAGCGGTAAAAACCGCTTTGTGTTCGAATTGCGCGATTTAGCGGGTTTTAGCGGGTTTTAGCGGTTAAAAGCGCTAATACCGCTATTAACTGCTTCAAGCTTTAAACCAAAATTTTCCCCGAACCCGACCCGAACCCGACCCGCTTACCCATTTATACTTAAAGCCCTCAGTTCTCGTGTGTCCTAGCCGCCTCCCTCAGCTCCCGAACCCGTGTGCCCTAGCCGCTTCCCTCAGTTCCAATCGAAGAGCCGCTTCCCTCAGTTCCCATCGAAGAAACTCACACTCCCTCAGCTCTCAGCCTCGCCTCCCCCAAACCCTCACCCTCCCTCTCCCCCTTCATCTCCAACCTCAAGATCCCCTTCATCTCCAACCCCAAGAACCCGTGTGCCCCTTCATCCGCTGCCGCCCCTCCAACCTCTCCGCCGTATTCTGGTTCTGCTATGACCTCCGCCTCCACGACAACGAGGCCCTCCCCTCCGCCTCCAACGACTCCCTCTCCCTAGCGATGACTTCCGTCGTATTTTGGTTTTGCTACGACCTCCACCTTCCAGTTCCAGCGTCGACATCTCCATCTCTGTTGCCAAGGCTTCGTCTGCAACAGAGAAACATGTAATCAACTCCCTCTCCTCCCCCTCACTAGGTCTGGTTGTGCGAGAACGTCAAGCTTTAATGCCATTGAATTTTAAATCCTCCGCCTACAACACTGATTTTAGTACAATTTATGTGAAATAGTACGTGAAGAGAACTGGAAGGCAGGAGGTCTTGAAGTTCTCATAAATGGTTGTAGAATTCACGTACTATTTCACATAAAGAAAAACAAGCAGTTGGAGGATGAGGTGGCTTTAGGAGAACTACAACCAATCTATTGGATTTAGAATTCACATACTATTTCACATAAAGAAAACAAGCAGTTAGAGATCTTGAACTACAACCATGCAGCTAGATGTTTATATATCTTTGATTCTTTGGTTGGTTTCTTGCATGTTTTTTGATGTATTTTAGATTAAGTAGCATTGAATTCTGATTCCTCTCGATTCTTAAAGCTGATCTCTTATTGAAAGGATAACGTACTATTTCACAGGAATAATTTTAACAAAGCTGGAAGGGAAAAGAAATTGACTGTTCTTTTTTAACAAATCTGGAAGTGAAACAAACAGAGCACTCTTTCAACTTCTCTGTCCTTAACTGATGTCATCTCATGTCTATATTTCTTGAATTTCTTCATAGTGCATTCATATTTCATACAACAAGCTTATCAAATGTCACTGATAATACAAGTAATTTACAACTAATTAATTTATGTATGTGATAAATGGCTTGATCTTTATAATCAACAGCTGCAATCAAAATTTTCCTCATTCTGTCACTTCATTAGGTCCAACTTTCAGAAAACCTGTATAATCAAAAAATAAAAATCAACATCTGAAATTGTTATAACTTATTGTATGAATGAAGAAATATAGCGTGTTTATTTATTGTATGAAATGAATGTAGAAATAATACAAGAAATATCCTATAAGGTACGTTTAATCCAAGTGATTCCAGTCATGATTTGTGAATAGGTATAATTTCAGCCATTATATTGTACTTATATTGTTATTTGTTCATTCATATTTCATATTTCATATTGTTATTCAGAAGTTTTAGATTTTTATATGATTTTTCTTATTATTTAGAATATTTAAATATATTTATATTTGACCACTATTTGACCGTGCGCTATTTGCCGCTATTTTGCCGCAATAGCCCGAAATAGCCATAGCGGTACCTCGCCGCGATCCGCTATCAGCAACCTTGGAAGTTGCTAAAGTCCTCAGAACAATGCCAGACTCGCTAAACTCAGAAGCTACATATCCTATACGCTTTCCATTTGTCATTTTTATCCCTATTGTTCTAAACCCTTTTTGTTTTGCTCGACTATTAAAGTTTCTCCTTTGATTTCATCAACCATCAAATCTATTTCAGCTATTGAATAAATTCATGTGGTTTAATGCACCAATCCAAGACATTTTCTTCCTGCTATAGTTTGTTATTGATGATTCCTTGTCAAGATGACTGTTATTTTGTCATCTAATTGAACATTTTCTGGCTTCTCAAGTCCAAATGACTAATTAATTTTCCTTCCTTTTCCTCATTTTCTACATAGCTGGTCAATAAATTATTCTTATCCATACTTTTTTCTTGCTATTTTATAGGAATCGTTTGACCCAATTGTTGATGCTGTAACTGGTCGGGATCTTATCCCCTCCATGGTTTATGGGTGAGGAAATATCTTTATTTTGTTTCATTCATTGGTTTGTTTCTATGGTGTTGGTGAGTCCACAAAGTTGATCCATCTTGATTGATGTGCCTTCCTAATTGAATTTCTTTCTGTTTATTTTGCAGAAGGGAAGTCAGAGATCAAGACTTTGGAGGAATGTATTGCGTCGTATTGACCTTGAAGTAAGAAAGTTACCTTTTGTTAATTTTCACTTTATTTCCTGGTGGTAATTAAAGTTATGTAATCAAGGGTTTGATCTTGTTTCTGCGTCACAGCTCGTCTGTTGTATCAGCTGGGATTTTGCGTGTGTTGGGATGTGAAGTTGCTGAACTTCCATTGGTTGCCACAAGTAAGGACAGCCAAGGACTGGTAAGTTTACCTATAATATATTTGTTCATATGCAATATTATATGTTAAGTTCTTTATGTATACTGCTTTCCATGCATTTACGACCATGAAAGTGGAGGCTTTGCCTCTGATGCCTGTCTCTGTTAATTAGGATGGGTGGGTAGGTTAGGCGCTGGCTTGTTGTGTTGTGGATTCCTACCCTGTTACTAATTAAAAGAAAATGGATCCTTACGAACTGAAACATCTTCTGGTGGTGAGGGAGAAAAGCTACACATAGGCCATAGCTTACTTGCTCAAAAGTGCTTAAGTTGTGCTCTCATTTGGATGCACTAGTAATGCGGGAAGAAATAAGAGCAAATTGCCGTAGTATAGTAGGAATGTCCTCACCAAATCTCTTCAACCAAGAAGCTACATTTAAGCATAAAGAATCAACATAAAAAACCAATATTTTCCCATTAAATTTCAATGAAAATTAAAGAAATTTATAGACTCTGAGCCAACTTAGTTCCGAACTCTCCTGTCCTTGTCTCATAAGAAGTAAGATTCCAGCTCAACATCAACTTGTGCTCTCTTGCTGTTGTCAGGAATCACTTGAGCTTATGCACTTGATAAGTTCTTTCCTCCGGATGCATACTAGGTTTCTTCCCATAGAAGTAAAAGGGATTATGGTAGTATGCAACAACATCTCGAGGATATGCTGGAGCTTTTGGGTGTCCATTGTATCCTTGCACATGCCTTCAACTATGTCACAGACTCACAGATTAGTGACTCATCGTTAAGGTTAAGCAAAGATCCATTTTCCTCAGGATAGGAGGTAAGAACAATGGCTTTGAATAGACCATAATGCTAATTATGTTAGTCATCTGATGGGTCCCGCCAGATGACATAGAGCGTTATGCAGTCTCCCTTGATAAGAGATCTGTGTCCATGCCAATGCCTCATCTCCTTGCTGCTGACAGACTCATTACTGGCTACAAGACAAAAAAGACTACCACACCAGCTTCTTTTCTTTGTTATCGATAGGTCAGTGCAACATCCTTGATCATCTCTTATCAATCATTGTAATGATATGCACTTTCTTTTTATCCCACCGCATGGTTCTGCAATCTTCTCCGTTGCGCTGTGCAGCAACTCATTCAAAAATGGCAAATAGAGCCTCACATCAAAGTCCACTTTTTGGATAACACGGTGCTTGGGGCTTATTTTTAGTACTAAATTATAACCTATGTTAGCGTTTGATAGCTTTTGTCTTTTTAAGCTATGTTAGCTTCTGGTGGCTTTTGGTATAATACTGTTTACTTGTGTAAACCTAGCTTATTTAGGTGGGTTGAGAAGCTAGTGTCTCATAATTTGGAGAATCTCAATTTTTTAAATGGGGGGCTTAAATGCAAACCTATTCTGGTTTTATCAAGCAAGTACATATAAAAAAGCCAGCTTAAAAGTCCCTTTGACCAAAAAATAAGCCACCCTACTACCCACCCACAAAAAATAAAAATAAAAATAAAAAATACAAAAAATTTGAAAAGGGAGAAAAAAGAAAAAGAAAAAGAAGAATGAAAACCAAATACACGTAAGTAGTGGAAGTGTTATGGTGAAACAGAATGTCACCCATTCCCAAAAATGTGATACTAAAGAAGATGGGAAGCTTGAGTAATTATCATAAGGGGGTTATGTTGGCCTTAGTATCAAACCTTCTTATACTGACTCAAATAGAGTTCAGCTTCTCAAAAAAGGCTTAATCAGTCACCGGAGAAGTTTCCATCTTCAATGCAGGCAAAGAGAGTATCGTTTTTGCTGGCAACTAGAAACTGAATTGAGGGTTTGCGAGAATGTAGGAATGTATTGTCTTCACCAGCAACGTGAGTTCTTCATCGTCAAAGTGTGTTCATGAACCATTTTTTTATGAAGAAAGCGACATGAAGCTAAGAGAATGACATGATCTGGGTTTTTCGATAACGGGTTGGATTTTTGAGTTGGTAACTGGTCGTGTTTGACTTGTAAGGGGTTAAAATCTTATGCTGTTGGTTTTTTAGAACATCTAAAATGTGGATATTAAGGTAATTTTAATCCAGAACTGTTAAAATCTTTACAGTGACTAATTTGCAGGGTTGAATTGAGGGAAGAAAACAATTTGAGGGGCAAATTTTGAATTATAATGATTTTGGGAAAATTCAAAAATACCTAAAATTGTAAGGTTATATCCAAAAACTCCAGTGGAAAATAACATAGCTTTATGTTTATGTGTGCGTGTCAGGCAGGTTTGTTGCAATTTTACTCTTTAAGAGCGTTCAAATGTCAAGGATATGAATGTCTTTCTTCAATAGCGTTGTCTGTGACACTGGGCTTCTCCAGTTCTCCTCTGCCTCAACATCTGCTAATTTTTCACATTACAGAAGTGTTTTTTTGGTTACTGGCTGTACCTAACTATTTAATGACTTTTTTCTCCTGTTTTTTCTTCAGGGTTATTTCCAATCTCTTTTTGCATGCATCGAAAAATTGTTGGAATCTTTGAAGATTAAGCATTTTGTGCTTCCTTCAGCTGATGAAGCTAAATCTATCTGGACTAAGAAATTTGGTTTCAGTAAAATAACTCAAGAGCAGGTGAGTAGCCACTTTGGTAGGCAGATCTAGTCGTAGTTAAGAGTAGCAGAATGGTTGTAGTAACGCGGTTTACTTGTTTTGCTTACAGCTCGTTGAGTATGCGAAGGGTGCCCGCCCAATGATCTTCCAAGGTACATCTTGGCTTTACAAGCCTGTCCCCTGTACACAGGACTCCTTTTCTGGAAACCCGACCTAGCTGATTGACAAAGTGTTTCGGTCCTCTTTTAGTTGTAAGGTTGGAAGAGCCGCTCTTTGTTGATCGCTTTCCATTTTAGATGTATATATAAGGTTCAGCTGCAATGTACAGAAATGAAAGTTACACCGTGAAAGCAGTTTTTGGGCTACTTTTTCTCGAAAGAAAGGAGGATGAGTTTTGCATTCCTTTTCCCCCTTTAATACGAGGTAGTGAATGTGTCAGGCTCGGATGAGATTAGGACTTTATATCGAGCTTTTTTGAAAATCAAAATTTTGAGCAAAGTTATTCTGCGATCATTCCAGTCTTTTCCCTTTTTATTTTCTTTTTATGTTGGAAGTATAGCTTGCATTATCTTCTACTTGATCCGATGGCTGCGCGATAGTGTTTTGCTATGAATAGAACATGTTTAGTACCCCCCCGTAGGGGTGCTAAACCGTATCCGTATCTAAGGAAATATCCGTAACCGTATCCATTAGGATACGAATATGGTTATTCAAATCTATAACCGAACGGATATGGTTTTCTAATGAAATATCTGTATTCGTATTCGGAATATCTGAATACGTATTATTCATACTCTTATTTGCGATAGTTTCGATTCTTTGATTATGGATGTGTGGTTAATTTTGATGATCGAGATGTCTAATCTTAACTTTTCAGTTATAATGGACATATTAACTAACTTTTTTTTATCACATGAACTATATTTTTCTCAATACTATCTAGTTTTTTCATATTTGTTTTGTATCCGTATGCATATCCGCATGTATATCTTTAACCGTATCCGGTTTTAGTGGATATGGTTATAAATTTTTCTTACCGAGGTATAACCGTATAAATTTTCCTTACTGAGGTTTATCCGTATCCGAGATGGGTAAGCGGATATGGATATGGTAAGCATCATATCCGAGCC